ATCTATTATGACCTGTGAGTTCTGACCTTTCCGGAATGCAATTTGCAATTTGGTGGCGGCAGTCACATCATCACATACGTTCAAATTGAGATTACTGTTTTGATTGCTATTCTCTCTACTGTTTCGGTAAAAATATATATTGGATAATAAATTATAAATGAGTCTTAAAAAAAATAAATAAATAAAATTTTGTGTTGGCGTAAATGCAAAAAAAAAAAAAAAGAGGCCCAAAATAGATTTAACTTGATTCACATGTATAACATACAAATGATCCACGTAAAAGAAAAATTTATGGATGGTGGTAATCCTATAGAAAAAGAGATGACCAATTAAATTAAAGCATGTGAAGAAGGACCAATTAAATTAAAAGATGTGATTCCTTTGAGAATAGAATTACATGTATAATATACACGTTTCTATTACAGAACGTGGGAGTGAGTAATGGCAAAAAAGGCAAGATAACTGCCATGAAAATTCTTCCCTATAAAAAGAAGCAAGAGAGGACAGGAAAGGGTCTCAACTTTTTTTTGAGAAAGATATAAGGGTTATTCTTTTACAATGAAACTCAGAAAAAGTTTAAATTTGAGTTATAATTTTATTCAAGTTTATATTCTTTTATAAAATTTGAGTTTGAACTCGACTTTAAACTCGAGTTTGGGATTAAACTTGAGTTCAATCTCGTTCGTTTCGCTGATTCGAGTTTAGAATTCGAGTTTTGCTACAGTAAAAAGCTCTCACAAACAGTCACATCTAACTTTTTTGCTACAGTAAAAAGCTCTCACATAAAATCACATCTCAACTCGAATTCTAAACTCGAATCAGGAAAACGAACGAGGCCGTCTCCTTCAACTCGAGTTCATAAACTCGAACTCAAGTTAATGAACATTATTTTTTCTATTCTTAAAAATGCCATAATTTTTTCGTTTTAATTCTGATTGAGATGATTTTTTTTCTATGCACTCACAACGAAAAGACGAATAAAACCCCACCCATATACCTTTCTAAAATTTTTTATCACCATTAAGTTTTTATTAAAATACTATCTAAATACATATTTAAGTTTTGACTCACCCCAACACAAACTCAAATAGCTTCTCAATTCAAATTAGAACTCAAATGTGTACATCTAAACACAAACTCAAATTACAACTTCAACTTAAATTATAACTCAAACTCAATTCAAGATCATCACTTAAGTCACCCTAACTCAAAAATATAAAAGAACAACCCCGAGAGTTAGTGTGTGTGCAGCAAGGCAAAAAAAAAAAAAAAAAAAAAGGTGTGTATGTGTGTGTGCAGGTGTGTGGAAGAAAAGTTAGTAAAATAAAAAGTGTGTGTGCAGGTGTGATAGTGACGTGAGGAAAAGAAAAAAAAAAGAAAAAAAGAAAATACATCTTCGGAAGTGTAATGCGGTATTTCGAGATAATAAAGTAAAATCTTGTTTATTTTATCAATTTAAATTTATAATTTAAGTTTTGTTATAGTAAAAAGCTCTTAAAAATAATCACATTTAACTTTTTTGTTACAGTAAAAAGCTCTTACATAAAGTTACATTTTAACTCGAATTAGATTTTTTGTTACAGTAATCATATCCTATAAGGTCTTAGAAATAATCACATTTAACTTTTTTGTTACAATAAAAAGCTCTTACATAAAGTCACATTTTAACTCGAATTAGATTTTTTGTTACAGTAATCATATCCTATAAGTTTGAGTAAGTAAATTGTAGGCTTGATTGATTCGTATTTGTGAGCATTGTTCTGTTGATTAGTTTCTGGATTAGCATTGTTCCATTTGATAGTGATTGTTGGCATTAAATAACACTAATGCGTCCAATTTTTTCTTGGTTTGCATTGTTTCATTTCTGATTGGGTAGCTGATTATCAATTCTGTAAATGGTATTGCCTTTTATATTTTAATTAGCTTTTGGGTTCGCATTGTGCCTTTCAAGAATATTTTGCTAATGTTCGGCATTAGATTATTATTATTTTGTTGATATTATGCTCTGTAGGGATGAATGAGATGAATGGCTATGTTCATTACATGCATTTGATTACATTTAATTTTCCTATTCTGTGGTCTGTGCAGAGGCGTTTTACAGACCGTGTTGTCTCCTTGTCCTTTGCTAAGAAGGTGTTCACATACCCTTCCTTGTGGCTACCTAATGATAGTGCTACAGATTTTGCTTTGGAATTCTAGAGGTTGTCCCGCCGTGAGAGACCAGTTCATTTTGTGTCTTTTACCCCCACCCATTTGGAGCAGGAAAAAGAAGAGCTCTTGGTGCTTTGAATGCAAGGGGTAGTGAAGATAGAGTGAGATGGGCAGAAGATGGAGTTATTGATGATGCGAGAAAAGCCATCCAACTTGAAAAAACAACTGTGTAGTCGTGGAGCCTATCCACGTCGAAAGAGGTAGAAAATGTAGCTCCGTTGGCGGTTTATAACATCAATGATTTCAATTGTAAACGTTTGACTCTAATTTGTTTTTGTGATATTGTCCATTGCTTGAGGGACTTGTAAACGTTTGACTCTAATTTCTTTCCTGATTTCAGTTATTGATGAACTACGGTTTATAACATCAATGCAACAGTTTGGTAAAAGCTGCTTGTGAACATCTGTATGTTGGTTTACAATGGTTGAAACAACTCACGGAAAAGGTTCTACACTGGTTTATTTGAGCTGACGAATGCATCCTTGATTCTTTTCATGCCTCTACTAGTTTTTGAACATGAAATGTACTTTTTTGTTGTATATGTTGATTACTCAGTAATACTCATTTTAGTTGTAACTATATTGTGAACGAATAAATGAAAAAAAAAAAGAATTAATTATCATAAATTTATTGTTAAAAATCTCAAAATAGCATTATGCTTTTTTTTTTTTTTAAGTTAAACAAGTATTTCTAAATACTAAAAATAATTATATATATATTTAAGTTTCATACTATGTCTATTTTAATCATTTTAACTACCCACAACAATTCAACCTCACAATTTACGAAACCAGCACAGCTAGTATAATTATAATTTACTAAACACGCAGTTACTTTTTGTAACAACTATTTTTTTTTTTTTCAACATAATTAAAAATAATTTTTTCAAAACCTACATTACTACCAAATTAAGTCATAACTAAGCCATAGAGTGCTTCATCATGTAAGTAGTTGTAACATCATTAGCCACGTCTAAATTTATGCTCAATATAAGTGTTGGTCTAGTCTAGGCTGAGGGTGAACCATCAATGGTGCGGCCCGTTGTAATGTCAGCCCATATGCTTCATCCATGTTGAGTTTTTCAGGTAGCAGCCCATTAGGTAGGCCTAAATTGAATCCATGAACCAGGCTTGCAGTGAGTAACTGGACCATGCGCACGCCCAAACTCATACCCGCACAAATCCTACGCCCAGCCCCAAATGGAATCACTTCAAAGTCATTCCCTCTTATGTCTACTTGCGCCTTTTCGCCTCCCGGTAAGAATCTTTCGGGCCTGAACTCTAGTGGATCAGTCCATTCGGCCGGGTCACGTGCTATGGCCCACACATTTACAAGAAGAGTGGTCCCTTTGGGGATGTGGTAGCCGTTGATTTCACAGCTTTCGTTTGCCATCCGTGGTACAGACATCGGGGTGGAGGGATGAAGCCGGAAAGTCTCCTTCACTACGGCCTGGAGATAAGTCAATTGGGCCAAGTCCAATTCGCTAACGAGCCCATCTCGGCCCACGACGCGGTCAAGTTCTTCTTGAACTTTGGCCAAGATTTCGGGGTGTCGGATGAGTTCCGCAATGGCCCATTCCACCGTACTTGATGTAGTGTCCGTACCAGCTGTGAACATGTTCTGCCATCATCATACGCAAAGGTTGAAAATTTTAGCAATTAAACTCGTTCACAACAATACTAAATTGACTATTTTTGGCTTTTTGCAGTAGTCGATCAATACAAAAATGAACTAATTTTGTCTCTTCTTGCAACAATTGTTTACTCCAATGAAAGTACGGCCTTTTCAAGGCAATGAAAATTCTATTTAAACTTTTGTTTTTTGCTAATAAAAAAACTTTATTTCAAGTTAAAACCCAATTTTTGTGCTCCCAAAAATATTTCTAGAATCATTTACGAGATGTCAAAGCATGAGGAACTGGCTACACACCAAAAAAAAAAAGAAAAAAAAAAAAAGAAGGTAGAGGTAGGAGGTAAATTGACAACAACAAAATATAATGAATGCTTTTCTATAAGGAAAAAAGTAAACAAATACATATGTCTAAGACTGTGATGTTTTCGGCTTTTTTATACTGACACCCTTCAACTTTTTGAATTTAATAATTTAGTCTATATATTTTTTTTATTGGCAATCAACCACTTCAACTTCAAAATCTTTACAATTATGGACCAATAAAAAATAATATATATTTTTGATGATTCTAATAACGTGATGTGCACTTGAGTGTCTGCTGGGGGCAAAAGACAATTTCATACGCCATTTGTTCAGTTATATTGATGTCAGAATCATCTAATATATCCGAACATAATCAGTTGTGATAAATTACTCTTAGTTTTCAATTATCAATTATCCTCAAAAGACGCTACAAGGGTGAGACTTTTATTGTCTTCAGTCTGCTCATGTCCGCGTTATATAATCAAAATTATCAAAAAAACAGACGTCGTTTTTTATTGGTCCTTAATTGCACAAATTTTAAAGTTCAAAGGGTAACATACATCGTTTTCGATTGGTCCTTAATTGCACAAATTTTAAAATTGAATGGACCAATCATAAAAAAAAAGAATAGGGACTAAATTATTAAATTCGAAAAGTTAAGAGTGTCTGTAAAAAAAAAAATAAAAAAAAAAAAAAAAGCCTTTGGGTTTGTTCATTTACATTTTTTGAGTTAGAGTGACTTGAGTTTAGATCTTGATTTGAGTTAAGGTGTATTTGAGTATGGTTTGAGCTGAGACTCTAATTTGAGTTTGTGTTTGAATGTGCATATTTTGAGTTATGATTTAAATTGAGAATCTATTTGAGTTTGTGTTTAGGTGAGTCAAAACTTAAATTTGTATTTAGATGGTATTTTAATAAAAACTCAATGGTGATGAAAAATTTTAATAGGGTATATGGGTGAAGTTTTATTCGTCTCTTCGTTGTGAACGTATAGAAAAAAAATCATCTCAATCAGAATTAAAATGAAAAAGTTATGGTATTTTTAAGAATATAAAAAATATTGTTCATTAACATGAGTTTGAGTTTAGAAACTTAAGTTGAAGGGAGAATTTGAACTCAGATTTTAACCATAAATTCAAATTAAAACCCACTTTCAAACTCAAATTTTATAAAAAAAAAAAATATATGATCTTAAATAAAGTTATAACTTAAATTTAAATTTTTTTTGAATTTAAAGGTAAATTAACAAGCCTTTTATTTTGTGAAAAGAATAGAATGTCATTTCCCTTTGCTTTTATCTTTTATGGATTTAGACCCTTTCAGTTACTAACATGATAGCGAAAGAGCCTGGATATATGTACTCCAGGTCATAAAACTATTAGAGAGAGAGAGAGAGACAAGAAGGAAAAAAATAAATTAAAAAAAAAGGGAAAAAAGTGATCAATCGTGCCAGCTTTAGAGGGAAAAGATATTAAATCAATTAATTATCAAGTTTTACTAAATTATTGAGTAGCAAAAAAAAAAAAGTTCCCTTTAATTGTCGGTTATATTAAAAAAAAAAAAAAAAAAAACCTCCCATATGATTATAATGTGATTCAATAATTTAGAATAATTTTTAGCTGTAGAATATAGAATACATAGATAAATAGATATCTAGATATAAATGCGTGTGAGAAAAAAGAGAGAGAATGTACCAAAAGCAATGCTTTAATTTCAGTGTCTGTGAGCTTCCCATCCTCGCCCTCCGCGTCATCCTTTAGTGAAAGCAATGTAGTGAGCAAGTCAGTGTGCTTCCCCTTGCCAACATTAGCCTTGTGTTCCTCAATAATTGTTGTCAAGAACGCATCAAACCTATTGTGGAGCTTCTTCATCCTCGCAGCCACCCGTTGTAAGTCTAGCCAATCTAGTGCCGGCACAAAATCTCCCAAGTTGAATACTCCCGCTAGCACCATCACCTCGACAACCATCGACTTAAATTCATCCGCCCTCGGCTCACTTTTGCCACTACCGTCACCAAAAACCCTGTAGCCTAGCATTGTACGTCCTAAGGCGTTCACCGTGCACACATTTAGCAGTTGACCCAAATTTACTGCAGTCGAGCCTCTGTTTGCTAGGGCGCTTATTAGTACCGCTACTTCCTCCTGCATGCAAGTTCACAAATCCCTAATTCATTTTTCATTAAGCAATTTTTTTATTTCTAGTCATGTTAATTTAATTAACCCATTAACTCGTTTTCTCCACGGTATGAATTATGACTACATAATTTTGTAAAATTAAATTAATCTTCTATTAGTTGAATCTTGAATGGCTACGAGTCGACTAGCTGGTCAAACCTGATTTGCTTTTTTGGCATTTTTCGCCCTTTTGCTTGAATATGACGTGATTTACCACGTGATATTTCAACATCAAATTATTGAACTTTATGATACTCGATCAATAATTGACTGCAGCAATAGGGACCGTGCGTTATAGGAACAGAAAAAAAAAATACTACTCTACTTTCCAAAAAAAAAAAAAAACAAAGGAAAAAGATTAAGATTAATGTCTTTTAAAAAGATTAATGTCTCCTTTATTTGCCACAATGGAAACACGTCGTGGATTCAACATTTTTCTTTTAAAAAGATTAAACCGCTTTAAGTTTTCAATTCTAATTTTATTACAGTTAAAAATTCTCACAAAAAATCACATTTAATTTTTTCTGTTACAATTAAAAATTCTCACATAAAGTTATATCTTAACTCGAATCTGCGGTAAATAATTAAAAACAATTTGTTTATTCTGAACAAATCCATTTTTCCCACATGCACACGATACATACATCTTCTAACTTAAAACATTTCGACTTTCATTACATGACTTTTTTACAAGAATAAAATTAAAATACAACAATTTCTTCACAATATTTTAGAAATAAGATAATTATATATATAACAATCATTTAGATGATTGTCACATTACTTTGATGCTACATAATGAAGAAGTAATTATAGGATAATTTTATTTTTGCTATTAACTAATTAGGTTGAAAACCCAAACAACAAATTCAACGGAAAAAAATAAAAAAAAAAACAACCACGAGACATCAAAATTACTCATGTACTGCATTTTCTTTTCTCTTGTGGCAATATGTAATATCCAGAACATCAATATAAAGAGCTCTATTTACTGCTATTATATTATCTATAGCATCCATATTAAGAGTTTTGACTGCTAGTAGTTCATAAACTTAATTCCAATTACACAATCATTACACCAATCAATCTCCTAACTGCCTTTCACTAACGAGGGTAAAAGATAAAACTGATAATGACTAGTTAATTATTTAAGTTATTTTAAAGAAAAAGGCAAGTAAGTAACTAGTATTAACAAACTTTCCTTTTTTTTTTTTCCACCACATGAACAGCTTTGCTACTAAAAAAGCATTTCCTACCTTGCAACAAAATTATTGGCACTTGATATTCACATTAAAGAAGGACGATTTTTTTTTTCCTTTGCTTTCTTCGGATCATATCTTATTTCGTAGTATATATTTTAAGAGTCCGTCAAGTTCATAAATTTATACGAGTAGTTTTGATTCTAACATTTAAAATGTAAATTTTATAACAAAAAAATACTGTAATCATTTGAACCATGCAAAAGTTTAAAAACAAACGCATCGTATATATTATATCTGATCAAAAATCTTATTACACTACTATTTAAAATTAACAAAACCTGATACAAATATGACGGTTTAAAAAGCATTTCCGAAACTAAACACAACCAAATATACCTGTCGTACGTGTCGGAAATCCTCCAAGGCCTTGCCGGAGAAGAGGTGTACGGACGTGATCTTCCGTAGCAACCGCCACCTTTGGCCGTACGGCCTGAACACCAAGTCCTGGTAGTTGTACGCGATGTGCTTGGCGCCGGAGTTGGGCGGCCTGCTCGAGAAGTTGGCGTCGTGGGTCTTAAGGAACTGGGCCGCCACGGAGGCCGACGCCGCCACCACCACGTCCACCTGGCCCAAACGGAGGTGCATCAGCGGGCCGTGCTTCCGCGCCAGGGTGGCCATGGTCTGGTGCGGCGCCTGGCCCAGGTGGGGCAGGTTCCCGATTACGGGCCACTGTCGTGGGCCCGGCGGCAGCTTTCGCCTGCTTCTGATTAGATTGTTAACCAGACGGTACACCAGCACCGCGAAGAGTATTGAGAGGAGAATGGTGGTGATAGAGGCCATCGTTAACCTTTTTTTTTTTTTTTTGTTGGTTTGTGTTTGTCACGTTTTGCGGTTTAGAAGATAAAAGAGTTTCTGGAAGCTTAAATAGAGTAAAGATCTTGAGTTTTTTTTTTCTTTTTTTTTTTATTTCTAAGCCAAAGTAAATATTAATATAATGTAAATATTACTAATAAATGAGAAGAAGGTTGGAACAAGTAAACTAGTTCGGTAAGCACGCGTGTATCTATCTGTGTGATGAGAAGACGTGCGGTGGTAGGTTGGGTTGAATGGTTGTGGAAGCACACTACGACGGTTGAAAGTCAGATGAAATGGATTTTTTCATTAGAGAAATTGAGGGGGCATATTTGCAAAATGTCAAGTTTTGTGTCAAACTATTTTCCTAATTACCATTTTTTTTATCGGGTCTATTAGTTAATGTTGTTTAATGATCTCCTTCCATAAAAGTGCTTGTCCTTTAATCCCCATTAATTAAGTTCGATAATGACATGATAATCCCTCCTACGCCTAATGTTGGTAATAATAATATGTTTGTTTTACGTGTCTCTTCTAAAACCACGAAAGATTAAAGGTTGAGCATATGCTTGTAAGTATATCTAATTTACGCCCTAATTATTCAATCTACACTTGTCAAGAAAATAAAGAAAAATAAATAAAAAGATGTCTAGAAACTAGAGCTATCGATGGTTGAAATTGTCAATTGCTAGATACTGTTTAGCAATAGTTTTGATACAGTTTGATACTATATATCTTTATTAATTGCGTGCAAGAAATTTCAAGGCCAGCCTATATATAATTAACAATATTAATGGTTTTATTTAATTTTTTTTATAAAAATGTTTTTGTGCAACAACAAATATGAACGGTACTACTTATAACAGAAAAATACGTGAACGGTAGTTAAAGATAATTACTCTCTAATCAAAGACTAATTAACTTGTACCAACTTGTTTAAATGACACAAGTATCAATAAAAGAGAACTTATATAATAACAGGAGATCAGAAAACTACAGATTTTATTAGTTACACAGAGACTTTAGTAGCTGAGAATATTATAGTTTAATAGCATCCATATAATCTTAGATTAATTATCTCTAATAATGAGTGAACAAATTTGCAAGTAGTATTTAGAACAATCACGTGTACCATGCAATCCCACGGTTATAACGCTTCAATATTGACTATGAGGTTAGCATTTTCTTTTTGCTTGAAGATCTAACACTACCTTTAAAAATAATAAATAATAATAATAATAAAAGAACCAACAATAAACTAACAAACAAACTCTTGGTTAATCAATAAACGCTATAATACTGTTTCATTAATAAAAATACGGCGTTAAAAAGAAAAAAGAAAAGAAAGTTTACTCTTCCAAAAAAAAAATGTTTAGTTTAACTAATCTTATCCTAAGGGTATGTCCAATGCAAATGCTAATATTAATAGCATATTTGACATCAAAAGATATGAATATAATAGATTTGATATGTTATTTTCATTTGTACTCCAATGTATAGTGCTATTTTATATATTAAATATTTAAACTTTGTAAGTTGTAAAAATAAACTTTAAATTTTGAATAGCTTAAAAAAGTAAATGTTGTAATAATTAAATGAAAAGGTAAAGATGCCAACTAATAGCAATTAAATATTAAATTTGCCGTATGTACATTTGGTGGTAAATTTATCACTAAGTATAGCATATGATAAATTTAACACAATGAATAGCATCATATTGTAGAGTAATTTTTCTCCTACTCAAAGATTAAAATTTAGCATTGACACACTAATTTAGCATTACATTAGAGTTGCTCTAATCATTTTTATTTATAAGTTATAGTATTTAAATTTGAACCTTATTAGATAAATGACTAGGGCATTAAGAGGAAAAAAAAAAAAAACTACCGTCAGTAAAAATACTCTGATCCCAATCTCGTCTCATATTAGACAAACGCATCACAAGAAAATAAAAATAAAGAGAAAGCATAGTGGTCCCTATTCCACCCAACGCGGTCCCAACCATAACTAGGCAGACATAGGGTAGGTTTGATAGTGATTCTTGAATCCGAAAATTAATTCTCTAGCAATTTATAGTTGAAATTTGTGTTTGATAAAAACCATAAAATGTGATTCTTAAAGAATTTTTGAAGAATTTGCAATCAAAATCAGAAGCAGTTCAAAGACAACTTTGACTTTTAGATTGTGCGACAATCACCTTAAAGTACAATTAATAAAACTTTCATAATACCCATAATACTCTGAAATCAATACTTATATAATTATAATTTATCAAACACTCAACTACTTTTTATAACAACTATTTTTTTAACATAATTAACAATAATTTTTCTAAAATTTACAACACTGCCAAACGCCCATATACATGTCCATCACAATGCGGAAGAGGTTCTTCATTTAAGAGTGTGATAGTAGCCTATTGACCCGTTGGAAGTGTGATGGTGCGATGAGATCTCCATTGAGTAATTGGTGCGTTTGGAATTGGTTCCAAAATGTTTTTATTTTCTGTATGAAAATAGAAATGAAAACGTTTTCGTTTTCATTTTCATTTTGAAATTATTTCTGAAATGCGTTTGGTAGTTATATTCAGAGATTGATTTTAGTTTTAAAAAAAAACTGAAACTGCGTTTGGTGGTTTAATTTTTGAAAACATGTAATAATATTTAAAATAATAATATATTAAATAAATATATTTAATAAACATCATTATATAAGACAAAAACGGTTTCAGAAAAGAGAGAGAAGAAAATGAAAAAAAAAATGAAATCCGTTTTCAGAAAACGAAAACGAGAAAATGAAAACACATTTTTTTCGTTTTCAATTTTTCACAAAAGACAAAAACAATTTTGTTTTTGTTTTTAAAAATTTTTTAGGCCAAACGCATTTTTTATTTCCATTTTCATTTTTTAGTCTCGAAAAATGTGAAAAATGAAAATGAAAACGGAAACAAACAGGGCCAATTGTCTCCGTATCAATCATGTCTCAGCCCTGACAATGACAAATAGAAGTAGTACTTTAAGTTCAAAGCAAGCAAAAATAATATTGTTACTCGTAAAATGTGTTGTTTCCTTTTATATTTTTCTAGTTTTTACTAGGGCTGGCAATCCGGATAGCGACACGACGATACGACTCGAAACCCGCACGAAATTAGTGGGTTTAGATTTATCATAAATAGGTACATATCAAAATCAGGTCGAACCCGTGAAACACGATTAAATAATGTGTCATTTTCAGGTTGACCCGCCAACCCATAATTGACCTACCATAACCCATTTATTAAACGTGTCATATTTGGGTAACACGAATACACAACCCATTTATTACCCATTTTATAAACAGGTTCATAAATAGGTTAACATGACCAATTTATCACCCATATTATAAACAGGTTAACAGGTAATCAATGGGTTGACACGACACGTTTATGACCTGTTTAATAAACGGGTTATTCGTGTCGTGTCAACCCGCTAATAAACAGGTCGTGTTTGGGTTTTGTATTTTGACACGATTAATAAACGGGTCGTGTTCGTATCAGACCTATTCGTGTCAACTGAAGGAGTTAACACGACACGAATACGACCCGCCAACCCGAATTGTCACCCCTAATTTTTACAATCCTCAAATTCACAGTAATCTAACTCCATCTCTGACATAAATATCAATGTCAATGTTATATTTGTTGTTAAAAATATAAAAATAACACATTTGATTATTTTAATTTATGCTCTCAATACATAATGCTATTTCAAATGTTATATTTATGTTTTGTGATAAGTTTTGAAATTTTTACAAGTAAACTTTTAATATTAAAATAATTTAAAAATAGTAATTGTTGTAATGATTAAAAGAAAGAGTGAATAACATCAACTAATACATTAAAATATAAAACTTCGCATTTGTTACATGTGGTGTCAAATTTACTACTAAATATAACCCTTGTCAAATTTAATACAAAAATAACATGGAATTGAAAATTTTGACACATCAATTTAACATTGAAGATATCATCCTATCTATTTTTTTCATATATATATATATATATATATTATATGTTTATACAAGTGTCTAACATCACAATTTTTCTTTTGAAATTTCCGGTAAATTTCGCTTCTCTTCAACTAATATATATTATTAATACCCTAAACGTTACTATGACTTTATAACAGCATCCTTGTTCAATATTTGAAAAATTAAAATTGTGCAATGATCTTTTAAATTATCAAATAAAAGTGTCCAAACTACTCATTAATGTTCTATATTACATGGTGTTAGACTTGGTTTCAACTTTCAACTTCCAACTAAATATATATGATTGTATACCAATGATCATGACAAATGGTATTGACAACTGATAATATGAGACTTGGTTAAAGTACTACTACTAATTTGTTCGACGGTTATGAGGGCCGGTCTCAGCACGTTTGATGTTCGAAAGCTGAGATATTTCAAGGTTTTGGTCCGCATGGTGGTGGGCTTCTTGTGGTGGTAGCAATATTACATTTTGACGGCAGCCGTGTGGTGGTGGTGGCGTGTGAGTTTCGTGCACTACAGTATAATTTGGATACCGCTTCACATTGTCGCTTGTCTCTCCAAGTCTGTTGCTATAGTGGTCTTTGTATCGTTCGTCTCATCATTGAAGGCTTTGACAACGATTTTTGCGGTTTTCTTTGTATTTTAGTTTGTAAAAATGGTGGGATATTTATCCCGAATTGATGGCGGGTTCTTTAATTTTTTTTAGTATCGTTTTATGTCTTCAGTCTGCTAGATTTACTTTTCGACTACATTTTCCATGGCCTTGGTGTCATGGGGTTCTCAAATTTAACCGATCAAAGTTTTTCATCGATTGAAGAGGATCTATTGATGAATCGCGTGTGTTTGATATTTAGTGTATTTACACTATTGAGAAGTTCCGTTTTGAATCTTCGTACATGCTTCTTTTTCTAAATATTTCATTTGAATTTATTTGTGGAATTAGTTTTTTTATTTTTATTTTTATCAAGGTCGTATTTTTTAATATTTTGAGGCCACATATAGACAGAATTGGAGTTTGTATTGCCGTGATTTAGAATATA